CGCTGTTGCCAGCAACTCACGGGCAGCCCAGATCCAGGGTGAGCTGTTGTTCACCATTTTAGCTGTAGAGGGCAGTGTCACTGGCCCTCATGTGGGATCCGAACTAGGAACCTGCTGCTCAGACCTGGTGTCCCAAGCCAGCTCTTAACCAACGTGCCACTTGGCCGGTCCTTATTTATACTTTTTAAATTGACCTTTTATTACAATAAGTGTTGATACACAAAACCTATAAGGAATAACAAATATCTGTGTACCCCTTTACCCAGTTTCCCTCAGTAGTAATATTTTCCAAAATTTTAGTGCAATATCATATCAGCCTCTTGACATTGACACAATACACTCATTTGTTCAGATCTCCCCATTTTTACTTGTATTCATTTCTCTGTGTGTTTATTTACATCTATACATTTTATCTCATGTGTACGTTTGTGTAGTCACAAGTACGGCCAAGATGCTGACCAGCTCCATCACCATAAAGATTCCCGTATTGCTCTTTTACAGCCACACCTACCTGCTTCCCACCTGCCAACCACGAAAATCAGTCCTCGACTCCTGACAACCATGAAAATCACTCCTCAATTTCTAAATTTTTTTTCATTTAAAAGGTGTTATATTAGTGGAATCATGAAGTAGGTAACTAACCTTTGGAAATTATCTTTTTTCACCAGGATAATTCCCTGAAGATTCATCCAAGTTGTGTGTGTCAATAGTTTTTCCTTTGTACAACTGCATAGTAGTGCATGGGATGAACACACCATGGTTTATTTAACCATTAGCCTTTTGAAGGACATCTGGACAAATTTCAGTTTTTGGCTATTATGAACAAAACTGCTATGAACGTCGGTGTCATTGTGTGTGTATGTGTGCATGTAACTTTTCATTTCTCTGGAATAAATGTCCAAGAGTGCAATTGTTTGGTTTGTATGGTAATTTTATGTATATTTTTAAAGAAACAGACAGACTGTTTTCAGAGTGGTTATATGATTTTATATTCCCACAAGCAATGTGTGCGTGATCTAGTTTCTACACATACTTGCCAGCATTTGTTGCTATCACTGTTTCATTTTTGGTATTTTGATAGGTGTGTATATTGAAAACTCCTTGTGGTTTTAATTTGTATTTTCCTGATGGTTAACAAAGCTGAACACCTTTTCACATGCTTATTTTCCATCTGTATGCCCTTTTTGGTGAAAAATTTGTTCACGTCTTTTACCCATTTTCTAATTGGGCTGTTTGGTTTTATTTAATAAGGAGTTTTTAGAGTTTTTTTATGTATTCTATGTACTAATCCTGTGTTGAGTGAGTGTGTGATTTGCAAATATTTCTCCCAGTTTGTAACTTGTCTTTTCATCTTCTTCATACGTGCTTCCGCAGAGCAAAAGTATTTTATTTTGATAATGTTCAGCTTATCAACTTTTCTTTTTATGGGTCTGTGCTTTTGATGTCAACTCTAAGAACTCTTAATCTAGCCCCGATTCCAAAGATTTTCTCCTAAAAGTTTCATAGTTTTACTTTTTACATTAGTTGACCCACACTGAATTAATTTTGGTATAAGGTATATGTTTTAGGTCAAGTTTATCTATCTGTGTGTCTATCCTGTCTATCATCTATCATCTATTTGCATGGATGTTCAATTGCTCCAGCACCATCTGTTGAAGTACTTTTGTACCTTTGTCTAAAATCATATTTAGATTTGAAATCATATAGTTGAGCATATTTATATGGGTCTATTTTTGGCTTTTCTGTTCTTTTCCATTGATGCATGTGTCTATCCTTCTAAAATAACACACTATACTGATTATTATACCTGTATAGTTAGTAGGCTAAATATCTGATAAAATGATTCCTTCCACTTTATTCTTTATCATGATTGTTTTAGCTATTCCAGGGTCTGAGCCTTCCCATATAAATTTTAGAATAAGCTAATCTATGTCTAAAGAAAAAGATTGTGTGAGATTTTGGAATTGCATTAAACCTATAGATAAATTTGGGGATAACTGACATCTCTACTATGTTCACTTCCAATCCATGAACATGGTAAACCTCTCCATGTATTCATTTACTTATGTCTTCTTTGATTTCTTTGATCAATAGTATAATTTTCAATACACAGATCATGCACATTTTAAGTATATACCTAAATATTTCATTATCTTTGGAACAATTATAAATGATATCAAATTTATTCATTTTTTTTCCATTTGATTGAGCACAAGTGTATCTCATTGTGATCTGTTTTTTTTTTTTTTATTACTGTGATCACCGATGTAGTTAAAATATTCTCCTCATTTATTGGCCATTTATTTCCTATTCTCTGAAGTATTTATTGTTTTTTATATATTCTTGATACTGACTGTTTTTTAGTTTTTTATATTGTACATGTCTTTTCTCATTTGTAACTTCTCTTTTCATTTTTCTTAAGCTATTTTTTGATGATCAACTTTTAATATTTTAATATCATTAAATTGATCAATATTCTAGTTTATAGTCAGTTAATTTTATATTTCACTTTGGAGCTGTGTAGAATTTATATCTCCACGTCAAAATGACTTGAATGAGCTAAATAAACAGAACCTTTTCTTTTTTATTGGAAACAATTTTAAAATAGAATATACCTATTTTCATACTCCTAAATAAGCAAAGAGAAATTGTTCCCTTTCTAAGGCCTTATCTATTTTGTACCCAAACAATTAATTTAAAAAATGAAATAGTATTCCCAATAGTTTCAGAAGAGAAAGAAAAACTACTCTCCATTTGAGGTAAGTTTCCCCATAGAATAATGAGGGAAATAGACTATTAAAGCTTTATAAGACTTCAGTTTTCTGTGATTATTTCCAAAAAACAAATAAATTTCTGTCCCATGACTTCTTGCAGTATTGTGTTTTAGAATATTCCAGCGTGGTATTTTGTATGTAGTTATTAAGGAAGGAAGACTTGGTGTCCCGAAATATAATATATCAGCTTTGGAATGAATTGTACTCTATAGCTTCCATGTTTGTGTGAGTATTTCATTGGCAAATACATTTTTTTCCCCATTTGGTAAAAGGACCTAGTTATTCTACACATATTTATGCGTGGTGGGGGATGGGGGGGAAACCAAGGTCCTTTTAGCAAAATGTGGCCTGCTAGGTGCAGAGACATATTAAACTGCCTAACCCAATCAGAGTAGTTGAAGTGTCCCCCCTCCAGAAAAAAAAGTATATTCATAAATAAATTGAATTGTTTTAATTGCATAAATTATATTTCAAATATTGTTTTATATTCATTTTAATGTTAGCAAACAAAGTAAGGATGTTGAGCAATTTCAAGAAATTGACATGGACACAAAGGTGTGTGCGTGTACACACACACACACACACACACACACACACACACACACACACACACACTATTCATGGTCTCCAGTCCTAATATGAAAATTCAGCAAAGGTAAGCAGTTCTTAGAAGCACAAACTACAGTATGAAGCAGTGGTACTAAAGGTATTAACAATGCCGTGCAATTGTTAAGGGTTCTTAAACACAGTAGGAATATTCTAGCATTTTTGGCTCTGTGTGAATGTAAGTGGTGGTTTTCACCTAGTCAATCGTAAACCTGTATATTGTATCAGACAGCCTCCTCTTCTGTTGCAAAGATAAACTGTTCTCCCCTGGCATCTTCCCCCACAATCACTGCAGGCTGGGGCTTCCCCTGAGGATAAAGCTTAGAGTAGTGCCGCTCCAGGCACTGGCATCCTTTTCTAGATCCTTATTCTGAAGCCTACTCGTGCCATTTAAAAAAATCAATTACTTAAATGATTGAAAGAGACAAAAATCTGATTTTCACCTAGACACCATACACTAGTCTCCCTTTGTTGAGGGTTTCACTTTTCATGGTTTCCGTTTCCTGCGGTCAACTGTGTTCCAAAAATATTTCACCAAAATTTCCAGAAGCAAACAATTTGTAAGTTTGAAATGGTGTGCTGTTCTGAGTAACATAATGGAATCTCCCATTGTTCTGCGCCATCTCGGTCCACCCCACCCAGGACGTAAATCAGCCCTTTGTCCAGCGTCTCCACACTGTAGACGTCCCCCACCTGTTAGTCACTTAGTAGTCATTTAGGTTGTCAGATCGACTGTCACTGTATTGTAGTGCTTGTGTTCAAGTCACCTTTATTTTACGTAATGACCCCAAAGCACAAGAGAGGAGCACTGCTTGCAATTAAGATATGTCAAAGAGAAGCCTTAAACTTGATCGATAGGTATGTGTGTACAGGAAAAAAAGCTTAGTGTGTGTGTGTGTGTGTGTGTGTGTGTGTGTGTATACACACCATATGTATATATGGTTCAGTACTACCCGTGGCTTCAGGCATCCACTAGGGGTCTTGGAAGGTATCTCTCATGGATCAAAGGGGACTACTGTCTGCAAAAGAATTTGAATTGGGGGAAACTCTTGGGCCCTTTTCCAATCTCCTTCTTCCATAAACCCTTCAGAATTTAGCAAAGGCCTGCGTGGTTTTTTTCTTTTGGACTAAATGCATTGCTCTGACTTTTCCGTGAATTCAGGAAGCCCATATTTCTCTTCTATCATTTCCTGTAGCATAGACTTATCAGAACAGGAGAGCCGCCCCTGCTTCCTGGCTGTCTTCCAAATCTCTGCTCCCACACTGATGTTGCTCAGACCTTTCCTGGAAAGAATCTACAGGCTGAAACCCAAAGCTGGATGATTTTGCACAGACACTACTTTCTAAACTGCAGGAGGCTCGAGTTGCCAGGATGGTGTGAACCTGCCAATGTTTTGCTAACTATTTCCAGAGCACTGGCTCTGCTGCCAGCTGTGACCACAAGTTTTTTTCCTTCCCTAGTACAGATGCATTTAAGAGAAGGGTTGTAAAAATATGGTTGCCTTAATGGGAACTTTATAGTGTTCTTAGCACTAAGTTATCTGAAAGACATGAAAATAGACTCAGTCTTTTAAAAGTTCCAACAGTAACACAGATGCTTTTCTGGTTTGTCCTTTGCAGAAGAGAAATTTTTCTGTCAAACTCCAGCTATTGCTGATATTGTAATCCTGGTGGATGGTTCCTGGAGTATTGGAAGATTCAACTTCAGACTGGTTCGGCTTTTTTTGGAAAACCTGGTGACAGCATTTGATGTGGGCTCAGAGAAGACACGAATTGGTACATCTTCTATTAATAACTGCAGTCGGCTGTCAGTGTCAAACTTCTGGGACGCTTCTTAGGAAATTTCAAAAGCTCTTTATAAAGTGGCTTTCAGAATTATAGGATCAACTGTAGTGATGTTACTGCAAGTGCGAGTTTGGATCAATAAATATTCCTACTAATTTTTGCTATGATAATGTCATTCAATTAATTATGGAACACATTTAAATTTTCTGGAAGTCAGAATCTTCTCCGCCTAATGATAATAATAATGACAGCATTAATAATAATAATAGTGTTCAAGTTACAGTTCGCAAAAGTTTTCATTTAAAGGAAACAGCCGAATCCAGTGAAATGTTGAACTAAAGAAAGTGGAAATTGGAAATAGCTTTATAGTACAAGATAATCTTTGCCAAATTAAATCTATCTGTGATAAAAAAACAGGTAAAAAATGTTGTAAACCTTTGAGCAACATATACACTTTATTACTTAAGAATCTCATAGTTCTACTTTTACATAACTATTAAGGAAACTCCTTCCTTTGAGAATAAAAACCAACCTATAAATCTAAATCTTTTATCTACAAATACAATCAGACTTTTATAAAAACATGCTAAGTACCTGCTAATTAGGTAGTCACTTCTAAATGGCTAGAAAATAAAGTACATTTCCCCAGCCCCCAGATAATTAATTCCCCCAATTAACTCCTTAAATTGATGCCACAAATCCTTCTTGAAAGTACATAGTGAGGCAGAGAAAAAAAAATCATTGCAAGGATGAGGCCCTTCGTTATTCTACTTTCTTGAATAATCCACTAGATATTTGAGTAACTCATCATTTCTGGGTGGCCTTTGTCTTCCAGGCCTTGCACAATATAGTGGCGACCCCAGAATAGAATGGCACTTGAATGCCTTCAGCACAAAAGATGAGGTGATTGAAGCTGTCCGAAATCTACCATACAAGGGAGGAAATACGCTAACAGGTATGTTTTGGTCCGTCCTCATTTTTAGCAACATGTTTTGCAGAAGCATGTTTCATTACTGCAGACTGCTGCTTTGTCAGGCTTAGGGTAGTATTTTTAAAAATCAAACTAGCATCTACCATTCTTAGGTGGCTCTTTTCCCAAACTCAGCTTTAAGAATGAAAACCCAGACATCTCATTCCTTTTGCTATGTGAATATAACATCCCAGGAGGGGCTTGGTTGGCCTAGAAGAGAAGAGATGAATCCTTAAGGCTTCAGGAGGTGTCTTAACCATTGCCAGTTCTGTTTCCTTCCTGTCTTTTCATCTGTTTTCTCCTCCAGCCACCCTGTCAATGAAAAAAAAACAAAAACAACAAAGTCCTACCTTATTTTCAAAGAAGGTATTTTCTTTGCCCTTATCCTGCAATCAGTAGTTATGAAAACATTTGTTCACTGGTATTTTTGATAAAGGAAGAATGTAAAACTATTTAGATTATAATTATCCCAGGCACAGGGATTATCAAAGGCTTGAATTAGTGCATGCTATTTCCTTTCACAGGCACACAATGTAAATACTTAGTTAAAACAATGTAGATACTGTCATTGACTTTTATGTAAACCACTGAAATCCTGATAATTGCTTTGCCAATTTGAGGTATAATCTAATGGGTTTTTGTTACTATGACAACAAATATATTACACACAGATACTATAAGGATATTGCAGTAATTTTTTGTTTTTGTTTTTCTGGGTGAAAGGTGTCATACTCAAAAGTTATGAGTTCAAGTATTATTTTGGATTTGCCCTCACTATCCCTAAAAAAAGAGAAAAAAATTATTATTTGTTCTTTAGACCATCATGAACAAAATTGAAAATGTAATGATAATATTTGGAACAGTTGTTATTGGGTAGGTGGTCTTGCTTTATCCTAAATTATAAATATTTAGATTTTCTTGTAACAGATCTGTCAACATTCATTGGCCATGAATTCAATGTTCTTTATAAATGCTAGTTTCTGAAATGATGCAGTATTCAGTTATTTTTATTACTTCCCTCTGGGTGGATTTTAGGTTTTCATTCGATCTGTCAAGGAAGAGGCCGTTGTAGAAATGAAGATGAAAGTTAGCATCTAATAAAAACCTCTTTAGTTCAATAAGTTACTCATCTTGTGGTTACATTTTGCAGCATTGGAAGGCTTTTCCTTAGAGGTGGTTGGTTTGTGTTTATTTTTCCTTGTTTTCTCCTAGGTCTTGCTTTGAACTACATTTTTGAAAATAGTTTTAAACCAGAAGCAGGATCAAGGACTGGCGTATCCAAAATTGGCATTTTAATCACCGATGGAAAGTCCCAGGATGATATTATTCCACCATCCAGAAACCTTCGTGAGTCTGGTGTAGAGCTGTTTGCCATAGGTATGTGTTATTTATGGTCCTGTTTCAGCAATGGGCCCAGACACATGACCACTTAAAACAATGAGTAAGCAAAGTGCACTTCATGGAAAACCAGGAGAAGTGAACACTTTCTAGTCTTGGCTGTCATCATACCTGGTTATATAATCTGAGCCAACCTTCTTACATTTAAAATGGAAGTGATGGTTACTGTCATGTATCTTAGGATGTCTCTCTAGGTGAGACACCATCCATAAAATGTTGCAAAAAGAATAAAGCTAAATGGTTAGGTACATATATGTTACCTTTTAGTTATTCAGGACTTTTCTCTTTCATATCACATCATAGCTAACTCTTCTCTGGTGAGATACGGAGAAACAAATTGACCATTTTCATGGAATTAAGGTCCTGCAGCTATTTAAAGAATGTATACACTTCTAAATATGCAGTATTACTTCTTTGAAACTCACCCTGTTATAAGGTATCATTAGGGTGGAAAAGGCTGTGTATGTCACACATTCAGAATCACTGCAAAATATTGAGATGAATGCACCTTTGCTCTTGATTAAAATGTTTACATTTTATTTGGCAGTCAGAAGGTTTTCTATTATGTAAAGATCGACAAAACAGAAACAAGCCCTAAAACAAGACACAGTTCCTCTGACCCATTCCTAGACTTGCTACTCAAAATGTGGTTTCTAGAATATTTCACTCAAGAAATATTTGCTGATCTTCTGTGTGCCAGGTGTTGTGGTGGGTGATGGGCAGAAAGATAGGCAAGGCCAAATGCTTAGTAAAAAAATTCCTTCCAAGTCATGAGGAGCATTTCCTCTTACCCATCTGTTTACAACCAACTGTTTTGTTTGGAAAGGAGAGAGAGAGAGAGAGAGAGAGAGAGAGAGAGAAAGAGAGAGAAGAGAAGAGAAGAGAAGAGAAGAGAAGAGAAGAGAAGAGAAGAGAAGAGAAGAGAGAGAGAGAAGAGAAGAGAAGAGAAGNAGAGAAGAGAGAAGAGAGAAGAGAGAAGAGAGAAGAGAGAAGAGAGAAGAGAGAAGAGAGAAGAGAGAAGAAACAGATAGATTTGGGACTTTCTTCCCCAAACCAATGTTATATAAATTCAAACTTGTTGGCTTCAACTAAACGCGGTGAGAAGCATTATCGACCTGAAGCTCGTTGCTTTGGCACGCGCCCATGTTATTCTGTTATTGTGTGGACCCAGATCCAACTGTGCATTTTAGAAGCTATTGCAGAAGCCCTTCAGGCAAAAGACATCAGGGAGATTGATTTAATTTTCAGGTTTTACTTTACTGTCCTTTTCTCCAACAAAGGAAATCCCTGCGGAAGACTTAAACTCATGGGGGATTAATTTATGTGTTTACTCTCCGTTTTGCGGTCTTGTTAATAATGAATGGATGCGTTTTTAAGGAAAAGTTTAAGGGAACTCAGATGTGATTTGGACTTTTTTTCTCTGGCAATTACCTGAAAATCAGTAGTATTTATTATCCTATGACCCCCCCTAAAGCAAATAGTTGAGAGACAACCAACGCTTTGTTACTCAGTGTGTTGAGGTTGGAAGATACATCGAATGGCACAGGCCAGGCATCTAAGAAGTAATTCATGCTGCCCCAGGTCATGTCTCTTCCTTACTTCCGTAGGACCTTTTTAAAAACACCCTTAGATGATTGCGATGTCAGGAATTTATGAAGAAGTGCTCCTTGTTTGCTGAAGCCTGGGGAAGAGAAATCTACCTTTACACCCATAAATCCCAACTCCATGCCTCCCTTTTTGTATTTCTAACTTCATTAACAAATATTTACTCATTTTAATGTGGTCTTCTGAGAGGTAGCGTGATACAGTGGTTAACAGCATGTGACTTTGGATCTAGACTGCCTGGGTAGACTCCCCGCTGCACACTTCCTGGGTTGTGTTTTCCTCGAGTAAGTTAATTAACCTCTCTGTGCATCCGTTTACTCATCTGTAAAATGGGAGAAACAGTCATGCCAAACTCACAGTGTTGGTTGTGAAGGTTAAACGTGTTAATCAACAGAAAACCCTGAAGTGCTTGGGGCATAGTAAGCACACTCTAAATGTTAGCATCCACGGCTAAGATAGACTGGAAGAGTCGCACGAGGGCTGAGCTTATTCTGTATCACTCTATCCTGCGCTGTATTCCAAACACCCAGTCTTGAGCTTGACCTGAGGTAAGGAAATTCAATAAATATTGTGAAGAACCAGAGTTCGCCAATTCGCATGAACAAAATTGCGATGGTTACTCTCCAGCCAATTATACTTGAGTATGCTCAAAATTGTTCCCCAAGCTTTCCCTGAATGCTATATAATAATAATAATTATTATTATATATTATTTTTATTCTAGCAATATCTCTCAGTTTAAGTAGGCTTATTTTATCGAAATTGAAACTTGTTTTGATAGTTGAAAATACTGGTTTAATGGTTTAATTACTATCGCTTCTGCACCATTCATGCAAAACAGCAGTTAGTTTCATCAACACATCTTCCTGTTAAGATAGACCGAACAAAATTCAGATCAGCCATTTAAAAATGATTCTGAAGGTGACGTGTAAAAAAAGCATTGAGCAGAAGATATGCCTCATTCCAGTAGCAGGTGCTTCAATTGCTATGGAGACCAATGGGTTCAGGCTGGGAACACGACAGCTGCTTTTTCACTTGGGCCTGAATGTCATGACCCTCCCTGTTGTTCTCCATGCAAGGGGTGAAAAACGCGGATGAGAATGAGCTGCAGGAGATTGCCTCCGAACCGGACAGCACGCACGTGTACAACGTTGCAGAATTTGACCTGATGCACACGGTTGTGGAGAGCCTGACCAGGACTGTCTGCTCCAGAGTGGAAGAACAGGACCGGGAGATCAAAGGTGAGTGACCCAGAGCAGTCCTTCTGTGCCTGTGGGTATGACCCGAGCAAAAGCCTCTCGTCTTACTGTTTTTCAACTTGACTTTGTAAATAGAGTCCTCCATTCTCCTAAGACATGAAATCATCAGAATAGAAAAGGGAATTGTTGGGCGGCTCTGTGAGGGAGGGGTATTTTAATCACTTGGATAATTTTCTCCACAGTGTTGCATTTAGACCATCATGTTTTGTTTTGTTTTTAAATTAAATTTTGGATTTTGAGATAATTTTATATTCGCATAAAGTTGTAAGAAATAATGTGGAGAGGGATTGAGTAAACATTTCCAGTTTCCCTTGGTGGTAAGCTATTGCAAAACCAAAGTACAAGATCCCAGGCAGGTGCTAGCACTGATGCAGTCACGTGGCCATACATCATTTGCATCCGCAAAGGGTCATTTCTGCGGTCCTTTTATAGCCATGCTCACTTCTATCCGTCCCCCAACGTCTCCCTAACCCCTGAGAACCACTAATCGGTTCTCCATCTCTAAATATTTTTCATTTTGAAAGTATTATATAAATGGAATTATGCAGTATGTAACCTTTTGGGGTTGGCTTTTTTCACTCAGGGTAATTCCCTGGAGATTCATCTAAGGTGTTGCCTGGATCAACAGCTCTTTGTTTATAATGCTGTGTTGTATTCCATGGTATGGATGTACCAAACCTTTCACCCATTGAAAGACAACTGCGTTGTTTCCATTTTTTTTAGCTGTTAAAAATACAGCTACTATGAACATTCATGTACAGGTTCTTGTGTGGACATACGTTTTCATTTCTCTGGGATATTGCCCAGGAGTGCAATAGCTACATCATATTGTACTTGGCATGTTTAGTTTAGTTTGAGTTAACAAACTACCAAAATATTTTCTAGGGTGGCTGTAGCATTTGACATTCTCCCCAGCAATATATGAGTGGTGCAGTTTCCATGCATTATCACCAACATTTGTTGTTGCTACTTTTTTTTTTTTTTAATTTTAGCTGTTCTGATAGGTGTGTATGGATATCTCATTGTGGTTATAATTTGCATTTCTCAGATGGCTAGTGAAGTTGAACATCTTTTCACATGTGTATTTTGTATCTGTATATCTTCTTTGGTGAAATACCAGTTCATATCTTCTGCCCATTTTTAAATTAGACTTCTTTTGGTTTTGTTTTTTCGTTTAGTTTTTAACAGTTGAGTTTGGAAAATTCTTCATTTATATTCTAGATATGAGTCCTTCGTTGGATGTGTGGTTTGTTTCTATCTTCTCTTACTCGGTAGCTTGTCTTTTCATCCTTTTAGTAAGGTCTTTTGCAGAGCCCGTTTTTAATTTTGATAAGGGACTAGGTTGAGCAGCCAAGCAGTAGTTTCCTGAACAAATTTCTCTGAGTTTCTTAATGAGACTGTCTTACAGCCCAGCATTTTCCATGGGGGAAAAAAAAATCTCTACGTGTGGTTACTGATAAAGCATGTAATCAGCTCCTGGTCAGAGTTAGTGTACAATAATTATGGTTTCCCCCCCCCCAATATTATGGTTACTAAAGTCCCCTCAGTAAGTGTCCCTAGAGCAGGAGTGTCAAACCGGTGGCCTGTGGGCCGCATGCGGCCCTTGAGGTAATTTTTTGTGGCCCGTGATGCTCTGAAATAAAATGAAAATAGAAAAAATTGTTATGAAGAAAATAGCGCTTAGGGGAGATCGAGGCAACATCATACACACAATTCCCTTGTTAACCCTTTAACTACTGAAGACGAGTATACCTGTGGCCCATTGCCTTTCCTGGGGGCCTGTGGGCATGTATAAACGCGCTGACTCAGTTCCAGCGACGTTTGGAAGCGATATGTCTGCCACTCTCAGTGTCACGTAATGTAAACTGATCCCAATAGCGAAAAGGTTAAAGAGCACTCGGGTAAAAAAGAATAATTTTAGTTTTATAAATACATTAAATAAAATAAATGTTTAAATAAAAGCAATTATATAGTGTTTTAATTATTCTATCCATATTCCTGAATCCTCACTTCAGAATATAAATTTAACAAAATTTGTAAATGTGATGTGGCCCATGTGAATCTTGCCTGTTGCACCAAATGGCCCATGTTTTAATTGAGTTTGACACCCCTGCCCTAGAGGATAAGAAATTCTAAAGTTCAAGAACCTTGCACTTGACATGTCTTAAATCTTTTATAGAATCATTTGCTTTAACATATATGTGACACACACAAAGAGCTTACACAGTGTCTAGCTCATAGTGGGCATTCAGTATGTTAGTTATTTTCTTGTATTTTTACTTTTATATATTGGCCATCTGTTGAATTGATGTCTTCAGTGTAGAGGTGAGCCCTCTGATGCTTAAAAACACAGGCTCTGGTATGAAGAAGTGCAAGGACCAGTCTCAGCCCTTAGGCTTACTAATTGTGAGACTTGGATGAATTAGTTAACTTCATTGTGCCTTGGTTCTCTCACATACAAAACTGGGAAGAAAAATAGTAACTACTGAGAATTAAATGAGATAATACTTCTAAAGAGTTCAGAAGAGTACCCATAGATACACGCATGCCCAATTCATGCTGTGTTTTTTGTTTTTTACTATTCTATAGCAATTTGGTTAAGAAAGTTCCTTAGCGTCAAGGACTATGTCTTTTTTAAGTTTGTGTCCTTAGAACCTAGCATCGGGATTAGTACCTAATAGATACGCATATGTTGCACAAACATATGTAGGAAAAAATAAATGAATCCATTTAGGGTATTTTCTAGGTTCATAAGAAATAACTTTGAGGGGACAGCCGGTTAGCTCAGGTGGTTAGAGCGCAGTGTTCATAACACCAAGGTTGCTGGTTTGATCCCCACATGGGCCACAGAGTTGCACCCTCCACAACTAGATTGAAACAACTACTTGACTTGGAGCTGATGGATCTTGGAGAAACACACTGTTCCCCAATAAATTTTTTTAAAAAAGAAAGAAAAGAAATAACTTTGGGAAAGAGGTTCATTTTGTATGTCTGTTTCATTTAGCCTCAGCCCTTGCCACCATTGGGCCGCCTACCGAGTTGATCACTTCTGAAATCACTGCCAGGAGCTTTATGGTTAACTGGACTCACGCCCCAGGAAAAGTGGAAAAATACAGAGTCGTGTATTATCCCACCAGGGGTGGAAAGCCAGACGAGGTAATAAGGAGATCATATTTTCAACCCATTGTTTTTATTCTCTCAAGTCTTCTACAGGAGTGAGGATAAGGCAGAAATGGATACATATAGGGAGATTATTTTGTCACAAACATTTAACATTATTTGGCTTAAATGCATTTCCATGTGTCCATGTTGTTCTCCCATCTCTCTGAGTAATGGTATTTATATCTCCTCTTGCCTCCATCATATAACCCTCAGAACTGGCCATGAATCCATTTCTAACACAACTTATTTTGACATTTTTTTCTTTTTAACATTAATGGGATCTAAAGCAAAAAGAAATCAGTAGTTAGTTATCTGGCCAGAACTCCCTTTTGCTACTCATGTATTCTTTTTACTTTAGGAATGGTCTGAGCTTGCTGCCTTAATAGGAAGTCTGGGTGTTCCAAATGATGTGGTCATATAGTCCCCCAGGGTTTGGGATTTCCTGGACATTTGGGGAGATCAGTGCGAAGGAGAAGCATCTGTGGCTGGGTGTTTCTCTTGAGGGGGTTGAGGCTGGGGGTTGGCCATCACAGGAGAATACCTATTGCCGGGTGATTGGATTCTTCCCAGTTCTTACCTTTGATGCAGCCATCCACAGGGAATATGTTAGGAATATGTTAAAAAGTGATGAAATCTCTGTGTTTTTTTTTAAAGGGCTAACCTATTATTGTTCTAACCCCTTACTGACCCCTTATTGACTTCACAATTTTCTTCTGTGTTATGGAAGGAGTTATGACTTTTTTTAAGTGTTAGAGAAGTAGATCATGGAGCTTTAAATCATCTGGATTATTAAAAAAAAAATCAGAGTGCTTCTAATGGTTTTGTCTTTTTCATGACTAATAAACCTTTTAAATGTTTCCATGGAAAAATATCACATGTCAGCTGTTACTAAGTGGATGTGATTAGCCTGGAAATGACACAGTTCCCATCAGAAAATAATTAATAACGGACTTTTGGACCTATTCCATAAAAGGTGCATCTGTTGATGTAGGGATTCAAGGAAAATTGACTGCCGCAGTGGAAAAGAGGATGTGGCACAAATACAACATTGAATGAAACGTTCTTGCTAGTGATATTTCTGCTTTATGATTTCAAATGTGAGATATTCGATACTCTCATTCCTGAAACTGGTCTTTACCCAGGTGGTGGTGGATGGGAGTGTATCTTCCACGGTGTTGAAAAACTTGATGTCTTTGACTGAATATCAGGTAGCAGTCTTTGCAATCTATCCTCACACAGCTAGTGAGGGCCTCCGGGGAGCCGAAACCACACGTACGTATTGAATTCTACCCCACTTCTGACTGTATAGCATCACTTAGGTGGCCTTTCCTCCGAGGGAATCGTGCTCAGGTTGTTGCTCAGTGGACATCCTGAATCACATTCATAGAAAGTGGCTGCCATGCTGTATGTGGTACTGGTCCATGCTGCAGCTGCGGTTTGCAGGTGCTATGTATTAGGAGGGACACCATGAAACTCTGGTAGGTTTGGGAGAGAGCAATCTTAGGGGTAAAGGGTACAAAATACATGTATTCACTTAATACAGAAGTATTGAATGAATGCCTATTATGAACCACGTCCTGGGCTTGAATTTGTCAGTCGAAGTAGAGTAGGAGCTCTGTAGCTCTCTTGACCAGTAGAATAACAAGGAAATTGCATTTTGTCTATTTTCATTACTCATATCAGTGTAGTTAAAACAAGCTTCCGAATACTAGTAATTCCTTACCTGAGCATGATCATGATTGTGTGCGCGTGCACACACTCACACACTCAGACAATCCTGAGAAAAGATCACCCAGTCATTAGTTATTTCAGAATGAACTGAGGTCCTATTCCAGTGCTAGGCGCCATGCAAAGTAGATCTAAAAACTCTGCCTCTGATAGAGCAATAATAATATAAACATTGCCAATAACAATGTGTGAGGCAGTATGATAATCACACTTCGCATCCAATATATTGTTGGGTTTATCCCTGACAATCTTTTCAGAAATACCGGGGGTGACAAAAAAATGTATACAAGTGGTGGACACTTTGGTCAACATGGCTCAAGCAGTACATTGCCGTCATCAGAAGTGTCTGGACGCTGATGGTAGTAACCACTTTGAGCACCTCTTGTAATTGCGGAAGTCAAATGTGACTTGTGTTCATCTTTTGTTATTGGTATATATTGACTATTACAATTTTAATACAGTTTTCCTGTCTTATAATGTATATACATTTTGGGGGCACCCTCTGTATCTTAGTGACAATTCCTGCCCTTAAGGAAGCTTTTATCTAGTAAGGGAGGGAATGCAAACCAAGGACGTGCAAACAAATTAATTAGTGCAACGGCGTGCTCCGGTAGAAGTGTGGCAAGGAGCTGCACTTGGAAGCAGAATCCCAAACTTGACATTGTGTTTGGAAAAGCTGGCAGGGCCTGAGTATTGAGGGCCTAGAATTACGTTTGAAAACAGTATTTCACAGTTTTCTTTGACATGACTGAAACCAGGCACTTGCAGTTTATTCTTAATCTCTTTCTCCCTACCTCTCAAATATGACCCATCTCATTTCTTGATTTGATTCCATTTTTCTCAAACCCTACTGCTATGGAGTTAGTCATGTCTCATCACTGCCCCTGATGGACTGTGTCAAGGAGTATTTATTCATTTGTGTATTTGTTCATCCAGCCATCCATTCTGTCATTTCTTAAGTGACCCAACAACATTTTTTAATGGCTATTGCATGTCAGACACTGCTTGGTAATGGGCATAAGGCGATGGCCAAAACAGTCTTCTTGCCCTTGACTGGCTCCCAGACAAATGTGCGCATCCATCACCGTAGTGGGATATAAAAAACTAGAAGATGCCGTTCCCGCTTTAAACATTCCCTATGTTTACCTTCTCAGAAGGCTATGTGAACAGATTTAAGGATGAAAATTATCTGGAAAATAAGCTATGTTTACTGAGTGGATACTAGCACATAGATATTTTGAAATATGCAAGCACACCAGTAGATGGCTGAACATTTAAAAAAAAAAATCTCCTCTTGCAGTTGCTTTACCCATGGCTTCCAACCTTGAACTGTACGATGTGACTGAGAACAGTCTGAGGGCAAAATGGAATGCGGTGGCTGAAGCATCAGGATACCTGATCCTCTACGCGCCTCTCACAGAGGGCCTGGCTGGGGACGAAAAAGAGGTAATCGCCACCTGCTGCCTACTAGAGAGCTAGCGTCTTTGACTTCCTTAAAATGTATACATTTTTTTTTTTTAAGATTTTTTTTATTGGGGAATTGGGGGGATGGGAACAGTGCTGGGGAATTGGGGAAAGGGGAACAGACAAGTTGCTGTCCTTTTGTTCTTCAATCTAGTTGTGGAGGATGTTGCTTCACTGGCCCAAGTTGGCACCATCATTGCGCTCTTCTCTGGCGAGGCAGATCAGTCGCCGGCTTCTGGACGGCCGCTCACTGCGGCTGCTGGCCACACACGGTAGCCCATGGCAACCCACTGCCACAGGGCCTGCAGCCCACGCCGTCGCCGGCGACTCACGGCAGCCCAGCTCCAGGCTGAGCTGTTGTTCAGTATCTTAGCTGTAGAGGGCAGTGTCACTGGCCCTCACATGTGGGATCCGAACCGGGGCCCTCTGGCATCCCAAGCGAGTTCTTAACCATCGCGCCACTCGGCCGGCCCAAATGTATACATTTTTTAAACATAAAAACTTAATGTATTAAATATACAGAATGTTCACATTAGCTAAAGGAAAAAAAAATCATTTGTAACGTCACCACCTAGACAGAGCCATTGTTAAAATTTACTTAAGTCTTTTTCAGTGCATTTTTAATACAACAAATGGGAATGATTGTGGAGTCTTCAGTTTTTATTTTGTTTATTGTGAGTTAAATAATATTTTATATAGTCATTTTAAACAGTTTTGTAGTATTCCATTATTGGTTTGTACCAGATCATGTTCAATTAATCTTATGATATTGGACATTTAGGTTATTTGCTGTATAAACATGCTTTTGTGATCATTTTTAATTTTTTAAAATTTTCTTTATTTTACTTTTTTTTTTTTAAGATTTTTTTTTTTATTAGGGAATTGGAGGGGAACAGCGTTGGGGAATCTGGGGAAGGGGAACAGACAGGTTGCTGTCCTTTTGTTCTTCAGTCTAGTTGTGGAGGACGTCACTTCACTGGCCCATGTTGGTATTATCATTGCGTTCTTCCTGGGTGAGGCAGATCAGTTGCCGGCCTCTGGATGGCCGTTCACAGTGGCTCTTGGCAGCTCACATCAGCCGCCGGCTGTTTATGCTGGCTGCCGGCCACACATGGTAGCTGATGTGTGGGCTGCAGCCTATGCCATCGCTGGTTACTCACGGAAGCCCAGCTCCAGGTCAAGCTATTGTTCACCATCTTAGCTGTAGAGGGCGCAGCATCACTGGCCCTCATGAGGGATATGAACCAGGGCCCTGCTGCACAGAGCTGGCGTCCTAAGCCAGCTCTTAACCAATGTGCCACTCGGCTGGCCACTATTTTTTATTTTTAATTAAAGTTTGTTGGGATGACAATGGTTAGTAAAGTTACACAGATTTTAGATGTACAGTTCTGTAATACATCATCTATATATCACACTGTGTGCTCACCACCCAGAGTCAGTTCTCCTTCCATCACCATATATTTGATCCCTTTTATCCTCATTTTTAAACATATACATTGCGTGGTTGTCAGATTATTTCCGTAGGGTAAAGTCCAAGAAATGGAGTTTCTTTTTTCAAAGGATATGCCAATTATTAAGGCTTAGAGTAGGTATTACCAAATGACTCTAGAGAAACTTTATATAATTTATATTGCTCTATGCAATTCACAAATGACTGTTTCCCCCTATGTATACTGACTTAGAATTTCCTTTTTACTGACTTGAGAGGTTGGCAAATGTATGCCATTGATGTTGATTCTTTTGCATTTATTCCATTTTACGTGACGAATCTTTGGCTTTCAAATCATTTATTTTAGTTCTCACTTTTAGCTTTTAGGGAACAATGACTGTAATACAGATGTCCAAGAAATAAAAAGGAAGTGTCTATGACACTAGGGAAATGGCTTGCCCTGGCAGGTGGAGTGGATAAGAGAGGGAGCTCAGAACATGATTCTTTAATGTGGTCTCAAATCTGCCTCAGTGACAGAATTCTTGAGGGAGAAAAATATGGTGAATCTGAGTGTCAAGTACAGAGCACTGGTGACATGTGTTTTTTATTTGCAAGGTTTGGACAGCGTTTGCCCATTTGGATAGGATGTTTATGTGAATTATTTTGGCAGAAGGGAAACTTAAAAATGATGCTAGAGAAAAAACATTCAGCTTCACTAAGAAAGAAAGAAATAAAAAAGAAAAGGATACCAGTTCATACCCAATAGATTAGCAAACAGTTTTTTAAAGTCTGATGATAATACTACACATTAGTGAGCATGTGGGGAAACAGAATCACTCATGTAAATTGGTACAGCTGCTTTGGAGAATAATTTGAGATATTTCATCAAGCTGAAGATACACAGTTTTTTTCAGATACTTATCATAGGGAAACATCCTGTGAGGATTTTTCAGTGCAGGAACTTGGTCAGAACAAAATATTGCAAACAACTGACATGTTCATCGGAATGGAAAACATTGGCATATTTATACAAAAGAATACTATCAAGGAATTAGATAATGTCAACTCTGTCCCTGTGTATCAACATGAATAAATCTTGAATCATAATATTGACAGAGAAAAATATTATAAAAATGTTACGTTGACATGGTCCCATTTATGTACGTTGTTAAACGTATAGAACCATATATTATTTACAGATAAATACATATGTATATAGAAGTAAAAAAAAAAAGGATCAGTAAGATACACCTCAATATTAGGGTAGAGGTAGTGAACAGAAAGAATGAGAGGACTTCGGTTTTATCTGAATATATTAATTCTTTTTTATAAGGTCTGAAGTCAATACTACACTATGTTGACATTTATTAAATTTGAGTGGTGGGTGCATCAGGGTGTATTATATAATAGTATTTTTGCTACATTTCCATTATATATGTTAAAATTATTATTTTATTATTTTTATTTTTTATTTTTTTTAGCTGAGCCATCCTGCTACCTATTGGCAGCTTAGCGGCTGCTCAGCTTGGGCTGGCCTCGAACCGCTGTTGCTCAGAGCTCAAACTCTTGAGCGAGCTCTTAACCAACTGAGCCATTCGGCCGGCCCTATATATATATATATATGTTAAAATTAAAAACTTGAATTTGACAATAACACGGGCAGTTATGTGACTGGAGACTGTCTATGGAGATAGTTCCTTTCCTTCCGAAACAAAAATAAAGCCACCCTGTTATGCAGCTGTCACTCAGTTGTCACACAACTGAGAATGTTGGCTAGTTTGACTGACTCCAAAGGTGATAAAAATCATCCCAGAGTCAAAAAGCAAATCACCAACTTGGGCATCCAGGTGCTTCAATCTCTTCTGAGAGGGACTTGCAATGCAAGTGGACAGGACCCTTTGACCCTTTGTTGAATGGAGCAACAAAACTGGTTCAGCTAAACTGGGTTTGAAGCAAAGACGTGGCTTTCAGCCAGGGGACTGGTTAGAATTAGCCAAATGGTGAGAGATGCCCACTTGGCACTGCCCCTAGCATGCTGGCCTGGAGCTTTCACTATTTCTAGAAAACATTTCTGATTCGTTTCCACCCACACTCATCAGGGAATCAAATACTCAACACTGTTATTCTCACTGTAACTGCCATTTGTCCAGATGTAAAGAGTTATCCTAAAACAGCACGCACGGGTCTGTTCAGTTTTATATGGTTCCATAGCATCTGCTCCTAATACAAAATGACACGGGACAATGAACAAATTATGACGGAAGCCTATTTGATGAAGGGGTTGTGAGGAGACATTTTTATGCTGGGAAGTCTCACCTTCCTTCAGTTCCGCTCTGATCAGCATGAATAATACATGTTGGCAAACAATCTGATAACATGTGTTCTTTTCAGATGAAAATTGGAGAGACCCACACAGATATTCAGCTGAGTGGGTTGTTGCCCAATACGGAATACACAGTCACCGTTTATGCTATGTTTGGAGAAGAGGCCAGCGATCCTGTTACAGGACAAGAAACAACATGTGAGCAGATCTGTCATTCAGATGAAATGCCATAATAAAAGCCCAAATCAACATTGGGAGTCTGAATTGGAAATGCTGCTTTAGGTTGAAACCTCTTAAGAGCTAATTGTAACTTAGGAAAAAGTATATGAGTATTTTGAGAGGTAAAGTACAACATAAGGAATACAGTCAATAATAGTATAGTATAGTATAGTATAGTATAGTATAGTATAGTATAGTATAATAATAGTATAACTGTATGGTACCAGGTACAAGATTTATTGGGAAAATCACTTCTTTAATCATATCAATGTCTCACCACTATGCTGTACACCTGAAACTAATATAAAATAAATAATATAGAATCTCAATAGTAATTGAAAAAATTTTTTAAAGAAAATGTATATTTTATTTAGGGGAAAGAAATGTGTTTCTCTTAGTCTTGTTATTATTATGAGTTGCTATGGATACTAGAACTGAACTTTGGTATCCTTTAACCATCAATGCCTTTGTCTAAATTCAAATGCCAGATCAGAACATAGCGGAAAGATCATGGGCTTTGGAATCAGAGTAGCTGAGGTGGGAATCCCAGTTCAAGTCGTATTTTAACTAGATGGCAATGAGCAAGTGATGTAACATTTTTGAGCCCGTTAAAGGAGGACTAATAGTAGTACAGGTGAAAACACTTAGCACATTGTTACTCCATATTTCTTCTTTCCTCCACTAATATAAAAACCACTTTTTTTTTCTAACAATCTTTACTGTCCTTTTAATTTCAGACTATTACTATAATACTTTTTTTTAATTGAGTACAAATTTTATTAGCAAGTTTAATTTTGGCTAAATGTAGAATTTCATAATATTTTTAGAAAAGGTTTATCTATTGTCTACTGGAAAAACAGAATCAATTGGTATTCTGTCACCATAAGGATTTATTCAGGAAGTATAAAGGATTGCAATCCAGTGGGTGTAGATGTTGTGAGCTAGCTACATGTGCACACTGAACCAGACAAAGATGGCGTAGATACTTCCTAGAGGGAAAGACGAAGGTAAGAAAAGGAGCTGTTACTGTCATAGAGCTCTGTAGTAAACATACAGCTCTTCTGGGAGGGCTCCCTGGATGACATAGAGTGTGAGAACTCCTCCCATAAGCCTTAGCTCCTCCCGCAGAGCCTCCTGATTGGTTACATCTAGGTTAAAGTCTCTGTCATAATTTTATCATTATTTATCTATTTTATTTAAAAATATGTTATAGACAAAATACTACCCTGACATACTAATACTGCTTTGAAAGCTAGCATTAAAAATATGACTCTATTCATGGTGCTTTGAAACATAAGAAATTGCAGAGAGACTTAGGATCTTGCCCGTCCCTCTGAGCCTTGGGAGGTGAATAGCACAACTTCTGGAGTGCTCTTGTCATTAAGATTCTACTTGGGAAACATACACAGAAATTTAATAATAAGGAAAAAAGTTTTCTCCCATATTCATTTTTTGTTAGTCAAGGATAAAGAAATAATTTTATTGCTTTTCTTTCTCCTATATTTTCTTTCTCAATATTGAAGAGTAAGTATTGAGTCACTAAGTCTTATAGGCTCCTTATTGTCAAAAAATAATCAATATAGATTAAATTAATGAAAGAATTGGCTTTAAGGATGAGGAAACATACTTTGTACTATGAATGATATTTGTGAGCATTTATTTTCTCGGTTTTCGCTCTGCTAGCTCTGTCAGCACTGTATCATCACAGCTCTTGAATCAATTGATTAGTTTCCTAGTTAAACTCTAACTGTTCTTCTGCTCATCCTAACTGTGACCTTGGCCAACTTACTTCCATTTCATGATCTATATAAACGGGATAATTGTAACTCTATCCTTGCAGTCTAATGTAAGGATTTAATGAGATCACATGTGTTACACTTCAGGCTCATAGAAAGCATGCAATAAATCTTTATAATTGTTTTTCTTAAACCTGTAAAAGCCCATGAAACTCTCAAAGATTATCAACAAGTTTTAATCTGTTGAGTCAGAAGAGGGTGCTTGAAGAAATACTGAATATTATGGGATTAATAGGAACCTGCAGAAATGCCAACACCTCTTGAAATATTTTTTAAAACAACAACGAAGTGTTTATTTTTATCCAGTCTCACAAAGTCACCGAGACTCAATGAAGCAGGAATCCTACTCATTAATTCCACAAATATTTATTAGAGTACTTGTATGTTGGAGATAAAGCCAAGAACAAAATTAAACTAAATTCTCTAACCCTCTGACATTATAATAAATATAGGAGGAGAGAGACAGCAGGCTTATAAATATGCAATAAAAATGAACCAGTCAGACAAGGGAGAGAAGTAGCATAGGGTGGAAGGATGATTTTACATAAGATGATCATGGACAGCCTCACCGTGAAGGTGACATATGCTCGGTAACCTGAGTCTTGGCTGACTCCAAAGGTCTTGGCCTGAGCGATGGGAAGCTTAGCATTTCTGTGTGCTCAGAGGGAGAAGACTGAGAGAAGATTGGGAGAGATGGCAGGAGTCAGTGGTTCCGTTTTGGGCATGTTTGGAAACACCCGGCAGATACCTAAGTGGAGATGGCAGACGGACACCACCCTCCCTGACTTTACACCTGAGAAATTGTTAAGGGGAGAAGTAGAATGACTTGGCCAGAATCCTATGAGAGTTGAATGGAATGGCTAAGATTTAATTTCAGGTGTTCTGGTTTTTAATCCAATAGGTTGCTTATTTATATCAGTCTATAATATTGACATTGACTAGAGAAGAAAGGCAGAGAAAATTTCCCTAAATATTATTAATTGCGAAGCGTGTGTAATTTATTATTACTCTTCATGCCTTACAAGGGTACCATTTTCTTTGTTAATTTGTTAATTTTCTTTATTTTAACTTAGTAAAAATTTTATTAGCAAGTCTAATTTTCGCTAAATGTAGGGAGTTCATGATATTTTTATGAACTGGGAGAAATGTTTAATTTGTAAGTAGCTCAGAAGTCAGAGAGGTTGGTTTTTGTCTTTTTTGCCTGTATATTATTTAAATTTTTAATTATTTTCTATTTCATTTACTGCAAAGTGCCCTTAAGCCCACCAAGAAACCTGAGAATCTCCAACGTTGGCTCTAACAGTGCTCGATTAGCCTGGGACCCCGCTTCCAGAAAGGTCACTGGTTATCGAATTGTATATAACAACGCAGATGGGACTGAAATCAATGAGGTAAGCTGTGGGACATAATATCCAGTTTTCCTCTGGTTGTGTGTTTGTTTTTTATGACTTCATCATCAACCATCCCAAAACACAGTGGCTTAAAACAATACTAACTATTTTCTTTTACAGTTTCTGTGGGTCAGGAGTTAGTAGGGCTTGGATATGTAGCTCTGGCTTGAGGTCACTCATGAGATTGGAGCTGGAGATGGTGTCATCACAATGGCTTCTTTATTCGTATGTCTGGTGCCTGGTCTGGAAAGACTGGAGCAGCCCTCTGTGTCTCTAAGTAGGTTCTTCACATGATTCCGCCACTCCAGCATGGCAGTTTTAGGGGAGCTGGACTTCTTACATGTTGGGTCAGGAGTACCCAGACAATTGGAGAGGGAGGGGGCAGGGGGATGGAGGAGGGGTGCGGGGTGAGGGGGAGAGAGAGAGGTGGAAGCTGTGTCACCTTGAGTTACTTCTGCATCACACTCCATTGGTTGTGTTATCCTGCAAAAGCTCTGGCTGCTCGCTGCACAAAAACCAAAACTCCAGAGGTGAGGTTGGTGGAAAGAAAAGTAGATTTATTCCAAAAGACCAGCATTAAGAGAAGACAGTGGGCTCCTTGTCACAAAGACTGCCTTCCGGCTTCTAACGCCACCAGCAGGTTTTATAGGCATGCAGGGAGAGGCAGAACAAAGAAAAGGAGAAGTCGGTCAGGCAAGTCCTGAAAAAATGGCACTTCCCAGAGGCTGGCCTGCTGCCTCAGGGACAGGAGTGGATCCCATTGGGATACAAAAACCTCTCCCGAGTCACCCAGGCCCAGGCATGCACAAAGCCTGAAGTAAACAGAACCGTTGAAACTGGTATGCATAGTAAATGTATAGTAAACAGAGTCATTTAAGATTTGGTGGAAGGATAGGAAAGCAAAGAAAAGAAAAACTTTAAAAAAATCCCAAGCCAAACCACAGTCAAATCGAACCAGAGAAGATACAGGTGTCATTGTCAAAGTAGGCGATATCACCAGTCCCTGATGGACCCAAGGCAAGGAGGAACACAGGCCCCATTTAGGGTGGGAGCCATGTGGGATGGGAGATATATATGTTGATGTAGCCATCTTTGGAAAATACCACATTCCCCATTGGACAAGGGTAGGGAAGTATGTATCTTCATAGCAGTGGGAAACCAGAAATAATGTCAGTGTTATCCAGTTTATCCCTGTGCTTCTGAGTAAACTGGCATCTGAAAGACCCTAGTTAGATGAGCTTACATTGAAAACTGAATAATTCATGTTTTGTATAAGAATATAGTTTCAAATAATAAAACTTATTAGCACCCAGAAAGATAAGGTTTTTTTTTTTAAGATTTTATTGGGAAATTGGGGGAGGGGAACAGTGTTGGGGAATTGGGGGAGGGGAACAGCCAAGCTGTTGTCCTTCAATCTTAGTTGTAGAGGGTGCAGCTAGCTCAGCTCCAAGTCCAGTTGTATCGCTCATCTCAAGGTGCTGTGTTCAATTAGTTGCAGGTGGGCGTAGCCACCATCCCATGCGGGAGTCGAACTGGCAGCCTTGTTAAGAGCGCGCACTCTACTCCCTGAGCCACCCGGGTGGCAGCTCAGCTCAAGGTGCCGAGTTCAGTCTTTAGTTGCGGGCAGGCATAGCCCACCATCTCAAACAGGCAACCTTGTTAGGAGCGCGTGCTCTCACCAGCTGAGCTATCCTGCCACCTGTTGGCAGCTCAGCTCGGGTGCAGCTCACTGGCCCATGTGGGAATCAAACCAGGGCTCACACTCTTGAGCGAGCTCTTAACCAACTGAGCCACTCGACCGGCCCCAAAGATAAAGTATCTTGCACTCAGTGACTAAGGCTCTTCAGAAATTCTTTTCTTGGAAATATGTTTTAGCAGGATAGATAGCAAAGTTATTTTTAGTTTTTTTTCCCTTATCTTGGTCCAAGAAGCTAAGACAAAGAGGGAAATATGTTGGATTCATTTCAGTTTTTGGTCTAAATAAAGCAAGTATTTTTATATGCAATGACAAACTTTTTCCTACAGTTAAATCCAATCAGTATTTTGCAGAATGCACCCTCACATGGGACATTGGGTAATGAATGGACAGTAACTACACATTTGCTAGCAGTACAGAAATACTGTTCAACATCTTTCATTAAATCTTCATAATTCCTGAGGGCAAATCATTCTGATGAAGGTGGAATCTTTTGGACTAGTTTCTTTGCATTTCAAGATGGTAATCTGAAATAGTAAAAGGATTGCAACTGAAGCAACTGAGCTATCAGTGTCTCTTTGTTGTGAGTGATAAAGAAACTACTTCCTTAAGGTTTGCAAATTTAGCTGTGTAAGAAGAACTGGCAGGTAATATAAATGAGTGAAGCCTGCCCTGAAAAAGGCAGAAATAGTCACACGTGCAGGGAAATATATTCTCACCTGTTTTCTTAAAACATGAGACTAACTTAGGCTATATTTCATTCCCACTTTTTAGACATGAATGTAGAAGAAATTCCCTACTGAGAGAAAGACAGTAATTCCAAGACTGATGATAAGTGACCATGGACAGAGGTTTACAGTGACAGGATGCTAGGCCTGGTGGGGACTGAGATGCTGGGGAATGCATACGTGTCTATCCAAGACTAAGCCAGTGTCAACTCCTGCAGATTGTTGCTGCATAGAAATCTAGGCAGGGGCTGCCAGTTCTTGTGACCCTTGATCTTCTGACCAGGGATTTCGATTCTTATGTGAAGCTTACCAACTTAAAACTGTTAACTCATTGAACAATCGAAATAACATAACCACCATATTCAGCAATTAATATTTGTTCACTGTAGAGCATCTTCCTTTGGTAATAATTTTTCATGAAACAAAAATAAGCTATCATATACATGTATATGGGAGTTATATTTATAAATATAATTATATCATAAAATTATTTTTATTGAGGTATAGTTGACATATTAGTTTCAGATGTACAACATGATGATTTGATATTTGTATAATTGTGAAAGGATCACCACAATAGGT